TCCCAGCGGCAACAGCTCAGAAGCCCATCCAACGACCGGGCTGCGCACTACAACACGCACGCGGCCGCCACGACCGTCCAGCCGTGCTCTGGACGACCGCCGAGCGGCCGACGACAACGACGAGAGTGACCAGAGCCGGCGTACGGCACCTCTATCCCCTTGACCTGAGCCGGCGCACGGCACCTCCACCCCCCTCAACCGAGCCGACGCACCCGACGCACGGGACCTCTGCTCCCTCACCCGAGTCGGCGCACGGCATCTCCACCCCCCCCCCCCCCCCTCCTCAACCGAGCCGACGCACCCGACGCGCGGGACCTCTACGCCCACACCCAAGCCCATGCATGGCACCTCTAGCCTCTCACCCAAGCCGGCGCGCGGCACATCTATCCCCTGATCCGGACCAACGTACGGCACCTCTAACCGCCCCCCTCCCCCCCCCCTTCAACATCGCACCGGATGTGAGAGCCGCCTGGAAGGACACTGTCCTCAGCGGGGGGAGGGGGAGCAGGCCGGATCCGGGAACAGCGTGACCCGTGGGTGGCCCCAGAGGAACCGGGCCGCCGCCCACCACGGCCCGATTCATTAGCGAGAGAGCGGCCGCTAAGGCGATTGTCGCCACCATTGTGCGCCGCCTTTCAGGGGCCAGGCCGTACGCCGGCGGTTCCGGCGTCGGCCAGGCCCCTGGTCAGCCAGCTGTCGCCAGGGGGGGGGGGGGGGAGTACTCGTCAACAGCCCACAACACTGGCGACTGGAGACGGATGGCTCAGGTCCAGACAAGATTAGCGAATATCAATGACTTAGACAAACCACTGAATAATGATGCCACCAGCATCTTCACGATCCGTTCCAAAATCTTAACGCCATTAACTAGCAACCTTCTTGGCATGTCCACCTTCAGTGTGTACAAATCGCTTTCAGGGAAACAAACCTTTCGAAAAATGCGTCTCATGCACTGCAAAACCGCAGTCTGTAGTCTTTGAAACCACGCACGCACGCACGCACAAGCACACAAACATTATAAATACTATATGCTATATATATATATATATATATATATATATAATATATAATATATATATATTACGCCTAAGAACGTGCAGGGCACAAGTCGTGGATCACTCGTTGGTTACACGCACGTCCAACGTCCCTTGCCGTCGCAAAACTGGCGGACAGTAGTCAGTTCGCTTAATACGATTCGGCATCAGAGCTTCCATGTCTCCGATACAAAGACAATATCACTGTTGTGACGGCAGCCACCTCAAATGCACACAGTACCCGAAATAATCCAATACCGGTGGTGGGCCTGCCTGATCAGGCTAACTAACGAGCTCATTGGCAAGCAGCATAACCCAGCCACGGTTAATCGCCCTGGGCGCTTGTGGGTCAGCCATGTCAACATCAAGTACCTTTCGCTCCCTATCCGCACGTATGTCGAGCTGGCCCAGCGTCGGATCATCTGCATGAGTGGGCTCCTGTCAGGCTGGGACTGTTCAAGCCTGATGTCCGGCGTGCCATGTCCGGATGTCTGGCTGGACGCGGGCAGAGCAGCCGAGTGTTACAACACGCGCCATCTCGCCAGCACAGCCTTCAGTGCCCCGCTCGGCCGGCAAGCTTAGTCCCCCCGCTCGGCCGGCAAAGGCTCCAGTCCCCCGCGCTCGCCGGCACAGCCTTATCCCCGCGCGCTCGGCCGGCAAGGCTTCAGTCCCCCGCGCTCGGCCGGCACAGCCTTCAGTCCCCCGCGCTCGGCCGGCGCAGCCTTCAGTTCCCCGCGCTCGGCCGGCGCAGCCTTCAGTCTCCCGCGCTCGGCCGGCACAGCGCATGTTACCGGCTCTGCCGATGGGTGTTCCGCGCGCTGATCTGCGCTTGTTTGCTCCTGTGTCTGCTGGCTACGCGTTACTCATGGGACAAATTCAAGATCATTCTGGGATGGCCGCATATGAGGGAATGTTCCCATCTGGAAATGTTGAGGCAAACATCAGACATGGTGGATATGTTACCGTTTGATTACGTCATGGAACACTTTTGTGACGTCTGAGCCGCTACCAGGCTGGTCATGTCAGAATTGCCATTGTAGCAGGTGGGCTGACTCACGTGTAGTAATTTAACTCGCCGAGAGGTGGCTTGTCAACTGACGCGTGTGAATTGAACCTAAAATCGCTACATGTGCGTGTTTTGGACCCTTCTCGTCGTGTTCTGGTATATTTGTCCGTAATGGCATCTTTCTTTGCTTGCATTTACATTCTCAGCCATGGCGTTGTCCTTAGGTCTAATTCTGAGCCTCATTTTCCGTCATAACTAGCAAACTACCCAAATGTCTGTGTCATGCATGACAAAATGTGGTTCGTGTAAGAAACTTGCATTAAATGCGTTAAGCTCGTTGAAAACCGACCACTCTCTGTTAATGCGCCGACTCGTGCTGCCGTACTTTGACACTAATAAGTTGTTGGTGGCATTTGTTTTATCTTGAAGATAATACGGCTCTTGGGAGGCGGAAGTCGTGACGTTTCTACAACGTCATACATAGCTGGGTTATCATGTGTGTGTGTCATTGGGGCTTTACGACGCACTCAGCTGCTGACGCTATATGGCGTCACTTGCCTCTCACCCTGGCAGGAAGGACGGGCACCGCGGGGAATTGAACCCCGTACCTCTGGTTTCCCAGACGCGTAGTGGTTAACGCAGACGCGTTAACCACTCCACTACCGGCACCCCACTGGTTATCATGAACTAGGCGGCGTTTAATTGCACGCACAAGTTTGCGTGCACCTACCTCAGAAAGAGCTGTTTTGAAGCCTTCAAAAGGGCCTGTCTGTGAACTGCAGGAAATGATCTTACGGGTCTTACTAATGACTTACGGTCTTGCGAACTTACGAGTCAAAATTATGATAGTGCATTATGGCATGATAAGACCTTGGGACCAAAAGTGCACATCAAACACCATGCTTAGTCTGTATTATGCCAGCCAACTACGATTTTAGTATCTGCTGTGGGAATCTGCACTCATTTACGATAAGCCCTTTCGAGGACATGCATTTTCATGGAGCTCATAAATAGCGAGGCCGCCAGGTCGTGGTGCTCAGCATGCACTTTATAGTCCAGAACTTGTCAGGCACGCCACGCCGTTCATAATATTCTTATGCTGAACCGGGCGGGCGGAGTCTGTGATCACACCACCCCATAAACGTACGCGCCCTTCGAGTGCATCGGACACTGTACCCCGGTTAGCGGCGGACAATGGCCGTGTCTGGCCGCCACGCCATCGGGATACCAGGCCGCTACGCCATCGAATGTCAGGCCACTCCGCCATCGAATGCCAGGTCACCCCGCCATCGGACGCCGAGCCGCCTCACCATCGGAACACCGAGCCGCCACGCCACCGGGACACCGAGCCCGCCACACATCGGATGCCGGGCCGCCCGCTATCGGGACGCCGGGAGCACCGGGCGGCCGTCGTCCCACCCCGCGCGCCGGTAACGACCGGTGAAGCGACCAGAGCAGGGCCCATCGGTCGCTCGTTACCGGCGCCGGACCCGGCGCGGTCTACCGGCCGGGTCGGCCCGGCGGCCCGGCGCCGGCAACAGTCCGCGCACACGGGGGTCGGATGGTCGCGCGGCCGGGCGGCGGTGGCGGCCCTCCTCCGGCCCGCGAGGGGCGCCGCCCAAGACAATGGCCCCGGGGGGGGGCCGGCCGCGGCAGGTCGGGCGGGCTCGGGGCGCCGGCGGCCCGGGGCACCTTACCACGCCGTCCGCCGAGCCGGCTGCCTCCTGCGCCCATGAAGCTGCCATGTATAATTGATGAGCCGGCGCCGGTCCGAAAGACAGAGCGGCGCCGCGGCGGCGGAACGGTGCCGCAGAGAAAGACAGCGCCCGCGGCGGCGGAACGGTGCCGCAGAGAAAGACAGAGCGGCGCCGCGGCGGCGGAACGGTGCCGCAGAGATGTCCTCGTCAGCTGCTCACACTGCCA